TGTGAGTCTGAGCTCACTACTACCTGTTCACCTCCATTGAGGTCGCCTTGTTGGTCTGTTTCAGACTCTGAATAATCATTTGCTGCATTGTGCAATATTCCACTATGATCCTCTTTGTACAAAGAGTCATCATCATCCAAAGATTCAAAGAAATTTCCATCAGAAACAGCTTGCAGTCTTACTCAAGGCTTTTCTGCAGTGTTTCTTGGACTCGAAGTCCTCCCATTCTCTCAGCTGAGACCTCTATTTATAGGTGTGAAAGGAGTGAAAATATGCTTTAGGGTTGCAGAAATTCATACATACCCCTTGGGCCTCAATTAAAATGGACTTTGGGCTCTACTTGCTCACATTTTAATAGCTAGAAAAATCAGCACTTATACATGCAATGTAACTGGACAACTTTTTTTACAATGTTCATAGCTATTTCTCATGCATATGGATGCATTTCTTAGATAGATTCATTGTCATCTTCACAAATTGGATCATGTCTCTTATTCATTTGGCCATTATTTAATAGTGGGCTCGAAAGAGAGGAATTAATAGGACCGGTCCATTCTTTTAAGGATTCAATTTGTAATTAAATTAATTAGATATTTTAAATAATCCTAATTAATTTAATTACTAAATTTGTTCTCAAGGGGTCCATATCACTATCTTTCTTTTGATGAGGTCCATCAACAAAAATTAAAGATCGGCCCGATACCAATCAGCTAACAATCATAGTTAGCTACAACTTTTGGCTAGAGTTTTAGAAGAGTTGGGCAATAAATTAAAAGTCGGTGATGCATTTGGTTATTATTTGAACTATAAAAAAAGTCATTATCTTCAATTAATGATTGCCTCATTCTGCGTAGATTAACCGCATAGTATCATGTTGAAATTTCTTAAAAGGACAAGCATATACACGCTCACAACTCACAAAGTTATAATTAAGGTAGTCCCGATCCTAATTGATAAAAATTGACATTTAGGCTGGCACTCTATAATCATTCCACTTTATACTAGATTAATATAAGCAGTTAAATTGTGCTCGAATGAGAAATTTATGCTCAAAGTTTATTTTTTCAAACCCGGTATATAATTTATTATGTGGATTATTCTATAATTAAGCAAATAAAGTAAACTGCCGGGTAAAGTAGTCATGTAGGCATTTCTGGTGGCAAATGCCTTTTTTTATGGTAATATAAACTAACTAATAATCCCTAGTTTTCACGCATTTAACAAGTATTATCATATTGGAAAAATTTGCAACAATAATTCTAACTTATTACAGATTTTTTTTAAAAATGGACAGAAAGTTGATTATATTTGTTAAAAGCATCTCTAATGCAAATGTGTGAAGGGTACACACGTGACAAAAGAGTTAATTAATAGAAAGTTTTCCTCTTCGATTCCTTTCACCCGCGTAATAAATTTTAGTTACTTTTTATTCGTAATAGATGTCTAGTGCAATGTTGATCTTGATCTAGACAAGACGATTAACATGGTAAACGAAAAACAACTAAATATTTAATTACACGAAAAATATGTGGACAACCTCCAATTAATTAACTTTTTGTGTTTACATCTCCTGCCATATGTGCATTGTTAACATGTTTGCATTGGATGGGAGATGTGCTGAAAGAGTGATCGAGTGAACGGAAGTTCACAACAAAGCTATACATATAGACGGAGTATATGGAATTGAAGCTACATTTCACAATGAAACTATCTTCTTGTGCTGAAAGGACAGTTTCCTAATTAAAAATTGAATCGACCGCTGCATATAATTAACGGATGCATGTTTAATGGTAGGTATTTGTTTCATGTTCAAAGTTCACAATTCAAGCAAAATTATCATATGGGTTTTTTACCTTAATACTATCGTAAAGACAATTTCCAAAAATGTGACCACATTATCATTAAGACAAAATGTGACTAAGAATGTCATATCAATGTCATTGCCACATTTTAATGTCACTGTCCAGTTCTAAGTCACTATCAAATGTCACTGTCACCACCGCCGGTGTCACTGCTGCCACCGTCCGTGTCACTGGAGTCATCGCTCATGTCACTGTAGCCACCGCTTGTGTCACTGTTGTCGTCATCGCTCGTGTCAGGGCCACATCCGATCACCGACGCCAACCACACTGACATCGTCGTAGTGACACCGCCATAGGCCACAGTGACACCATCGCAGTGATGCCGCCGCTTGCACTGCCAAATTACCGCCGCCTCACGACTTCATCCAGTGACCGCGGCATAGCCCCACCGGCCCCATGCCCCAAACCTATTGACCCCGCCTGCACCGTCCCCAGCTAGCCCCATCCCCTCCTTTCCCTTGTCACAGCCCCATCCCCAACACCGACGACCATCACCTCCAGCCACTGCCCGCGAACACCACCTCCGGCTACCGCCGGCAACCACTAACTCCACTCAACCCTCGACTTAGCTCAGACCAGACCCCTACAACCCTGATCTATCCCCGACCAGTCCCGATCTAGCCCAAACCAGACCCCAACAGCCTTGATCTAACTTCGATCTAGCTCTGTCCCCCAGCTCTTGCACGATGAAATCACTGCTCATTAGTCTGAATGCCGCTGCCTTGAAGCTTTATTAGCCACATCGCCGCATCGCCACCATAGTCGCAAAATCCAAGTACAACGTGATTGGACAGAAGGAGTAGAAGAAGAGATGCTAAGGATGGAGGTGGCATCGGTGATGCGTTGTGACGATGATGATGCAGGTGGAGCCATGGACTAAGAGCAGATAGAAGCGAAGCGGAAGAAACACGATGGAAGAGAAAAGAAGCGGAAGAAACGCGATGGAGGAGAAGAGAAGCGGAAGAAACGCGATGGAGGAGAAGAGAAGCGGAAGAAACGCAGATGGACTCCATATGCGAAAGACGGATGGGCTTTTTTTTATTATTTAAATCAGTTTTTTGTCCAACCAAAAAGAAGTCATATATTTGTCTTTTGAAACTCCAAAACTAATATTTAAGTCATTATTTCTTATCATATATAGGGGAAAGCAAATATCATATCAATGTTTTAAGATGATTCTGCCTTAATTACTTTAACAAAATAAAGCACTCAGTGCAAATATCAAATATAAAGGACAACATAATTCAAATAAATCTTGATTATCTAAGAGCGTGTTTTGGTAGCACTTAAATTGGTTGAATAAAAACGATTTGTTGTACAAAATTGTTAAGTTCATGCTCAAACAAATGAATTGAATGTGCTAAATTTCGTAAAGCAAAAAAATTGAAGTGCATTTTTTAATAAAAAGTTACTTGAGCCTTATTTACTTTGATTACTATGCAACTCACGCAATTCAACATGAGAAATCAAAAATTCATATTTGATTAAAAAATGATAAATTGAAAACTTCAATTACCAAACAACCCTAAAGGACTACCATTGACGTTTTTTTAGCAAGTTTCATTAAGTCATGGATTTGGAACACGGTCCACCAAAATTGCCCTCCATTTTTTTAATATTAGTATTACAATATAGTTATATTATATAATATTTATATGTAGTTATTTTAAATCATGTTTTTTCTATATCAACACATTAAATTCTGTTGAATTATGTGAATTGTTATTGTATGTGATTTCATTTTTATTCATATATGAGGTCTCAATTTGCCTTTCTAACACGGAGTCTCCAAATTCATTAGATAATCATGTTGGTATGGCTATTCCTCCGAACTGAAAGTTATGTTTTGAAATACATGAAAAAATATACTTCCTCCGTTCCATAAAAGTTGCAACATTGGAATTTCTACACTATTCACACACCTTACTTTGACTACGATTTTCTAATAATATACTACCCCTGTTATTAAATAAGTGCAACATGTGAAATTTTACACTATTCACATGTTCTACTTTGACTACATTTTATTTATTGATGTATTAATATATATTTTTGAAAAGTATATTATTAAATTTGTCTCATTGTAAATTTTCAAAAACTATTTTTTTAAAATTTTTTACTAATAGAGAATTATATAAATTAATGGTCAAAGTTGTGTCTCGGCAAGTGTGAAATGTTGACTGTTTCACTTATTTAAGAATGGAGAAAGTATATAATAAAAATATTATGTCTAAATATTAATAAATTTGTATTAATGTAAATTTCCAATATATTAATTTTTTCAATGTTTACTAATACGTAAATAAATATAATTACAGTCAAAGTTACGCGTTGGAGTTATCATGTGCGTCAAACTGACAACTAACAAGGTAATTAATTGTCAAACTGACAGGCTGGCCGCCTGTCAACATTCATCTGTCGTCCTTCCATCAGAGAAACCCCACCCCCACCCCAGCAGGTCCGGCAATTCATCCTTGCAAACGAGTATAGTGAAGGGGCAGGATATATGCAATTCATCCTTGCAACCATTGAATCTTGGTCAAGGTGGATTCGGCCTTATTTATAAGATACTTCCTCCGTCCTGAAATAATTGTCTTATTTTCCTCTTCGATCCGTCTCGAGATAATTGTGTTCTTGCCTTATTTGATAAACAAATCTATACAAAACAGTGTCAAACAGTGTAAAACATTACTAAATAGTGTCGCTACAGTGTCAAACAGTGTCGCTACAGTGCAGTCAACTTCACTTTCTTAATCTGTGTGAAGGTCAAAGCAGGACGATTATTTCGGGACGGAGGTAGTAATTATTACTCACACCGTCCCATATTTATCTTCGTAGTTCGGTTTACGATGCTTGATTGACGATAAAGCAATTTGATCGTTCTTGACACTCAGATTATTTTTAGTAAATTAAATTTACATATTCAGAAACTACATTAAATCCGCTACAAAATCTGATCAGGAAAAATTTAAGTTTAACAAAATTTTGATATATAAAGTAAAAGATTAAAAGTAATTTGAGTTGATCATGTGAATAGTAATATGAAGATAAATATGGGACGGGGTACTTCCTTTTACTATGTACCGTTATTAAAGTAAGTAATTAGTAGCTAAGATATATTTGGCTTTTAGTTTAGAACTTGAGTGTATTTTTGTCATTTAAAAAAATGTACGATGTTTTTACCAAACAGGTTGTCCAGTGACCAAACTTAGATGGATTCCCTAATTGTTATTAGAAATTATAATAATTTGTAAGCTTCTGCTTAGGCGATCTTGAGCACAGCCATGGCCGTCCCCATGGTTCTCAAGTATTCTTTCCTCCTTCTTCTTCTTCTACCTCTGCATTTTTCCTCAGTCTTCACTAAAAGCTTACATCTCAACAACTATCCCATCACTTCTACGGCGTCGTTTTGCAAGTCCAACCCCTACCCTGAAGCTTGTTTACACTCAATGAAACTCTCCATTTCCATTAACATAACCCCAAATATATTGGATTTTCTTCTCCAGACAATCCAGGATGCGTTGACCAAGGCTGACCACCTCTCCGATCTGTTTTCCGCCGCCGCCGCCGGCAACAATATCGTCGAGAAACAGAGGGGGACGGTTCAAGACTGCAGGGACCTCCACGAAATTACGGTCTTGTCCCTGAAAAAGTCAATTGCCAAGATAAAATCCGATAAGATCGCGGACGCGAAGGCGCATCTTAGCGCGGCGGTGACGAACAGAGCCACCTGCTTGGAAGGGCTGGAAACGGCGGCGGGTCCCATGAAAGAAACGCTGGTGGTTGCCATAAAGGACACATACGAGGATGTCAGCAATGCCCTGTCGGCGCTCCCTCAATCTGGCGGCGGTGATGGGCGGCGGCGGCGGCGGTTGATGTCCACGGATTTCCCGGGATGGGTTTCGAAGAAGGACCGACGCATCTTGCAGCAGGACGATGACTATGTTGACTACGACGACCATTGGGAGACGACGCTGACGGTGGCTGCTGACGGGACAGGAAACTTTACCACCGTCACAGACGCCGTTAATTTTGCCCCTAATAACAGCGCTGTGAGAATATACATCTACGTGAGACAAGGGGTTTATCAAGAAAATGTGGAGATCCCGAAGTGGAAGCCTAACATTGTTATGCTAGGAGATGGTCGTAAAGTCACCGTTATCACCGGTAACAGAAGTGTCGTCGATGGTTGGACAACATTCCGATCTGCCACCGTTGGTAACTAAAAACTCCATTCTTAATAACTTCATTTCTTTTAAGTACTCTTAAATGTTCTTGCAAATAAATTGGATTAAAATAAAGTTCATTTGGTAAATATGCATTATCAGTCAACTTTTTCAGCTAGAACTTGATAAATCAGTCGTTTTAATCAGCCAATTTTAAAGCCCGTTTGCTAACATTGAAATTGGTTGAGTCGATTAATTATGCTGAAATTTATAAAGTTCTAGTTGAAGTGGTTGGATTGGTTGATTATGCTGATTTATGAAGAAAAAAATATTTTATTGATAAATATTGAAAAAATTATATGAAAATAGCTAAAATAATCCGTTACACTAACTTCAGCTGATACAGCCAGAAAAGTAACTCCAACTTTATGTTTTCTTATTATTACACAATTCATCGTGCGAAATAAAAAATTATTGTTTGATGAAAAAGTTGATTGATAAGTCGAAAAACAAGATCAACGAACGGGCTCTCGGTGTTATCAAATAGACTCCAAACTTAATCAATTCATTACGCTTGTTATTATTAGAGAGAATATTTTAAACAATAATACTACGTAATGATTAATGCCTACATATTTGTTAAACCTTGATTTAATTTCAAACGAGAATGAAAACTTTAGACTGTCTTATCGTCCTACATAAATGGCACCATTTTGGCATTGCGAATGATAAGTTGATCTATATGCTTCCAAATAATTATTGAGCTAAGGTAGATCCAATAAGGGACAGTAAGACCATGTGTAGTGGTTAAAGATTAGGAGTCAAAAAATTAAAAATGAAATTTTTAGACTTTTAATTGGGTGTAGTGGAGGATTAAAAGGGGAGTAAAAGTGGGAAGGTGAGTGGAGGAGTGCTGCTTACGCTGCTAAAAGGAGGCTTGCATCCTGTTGACGTCATTATTACCTCAAATTGTTTTAAATTCTGGTAACTTTTTTATTTGTTCTCCAATTTTTTCAAAAAATATATTAAAATTCATAAAATTTTATGATCTTTCATGTGACCCCAATACGTAATATATAAAATGAAACAAAAATTCTTAAGTTTTAATTGTTGAAGTTTTCTTCAGTCTACCAAACGATGAAACATAAATTTTTAATTCATGGAATCTTCACAAATAACTGAATATATTATAATCGAACTTTACTTGAACTAAGTTCATTTTTGTTAACCGAAAAAATAAAAAAAAATAATGAAATTTATTTATTTTTATATCGAAATGTGTATTTTTTTATTTCACAATTATTTAGGGAAAATATTAAACGGAAAACACTACTTATAATAAATTAATTAATGTTTTACTAAATTGATATGTAAGAAAATATGTTGAGTGTATTTTATTGACGCGTCACGGATGCAGGGAAAAACAGTATTGACGGGATCGAAACACTGTTTTGATATGGACGGAGTCCAAATTTAACAATTTGGATTCCTAACCACTACAAATGGTCTAAAACCAGAGAAAACCACAACGTACAACATCAGTTTGCCATCCGAAACATGAAGTCAGACACTTCTGGCATCACGAAAAGTCCACAATCAAACTTTGTAAAGTTTGAACAGCACGAGAATTAATAAAGTAAAACTGTGTGGTTGATGTTTGTGTAGAGGAGAGAGAATTACCAAAAAGCACAAATTCTTTACTTAAAATGGAAAATGACAAAGTTAGTGGACATCTAAAAATGGAAAATGGGAAAGTTTTAAGGGACGGAGGTAATATTACGTAGTATATTTTATGGACAGTTTTGGTTGAATTTGAGGATTAAAAAAAGGTACTCTGTAATACTCCCTCCGTATCTATTTAGATGACCCATTAGGCTTTTTGAGTAGTTTACGAAGAAATATAGGTGTACTTTAGATAAAACTAAAAAACACTATAGATGATTAAAATATGTGGGTGGGATGGGGATTTAATGGGGAGGAATAATGGAGTAAGTGAAAAGAAAAATGGAAAATGTAAATATTTAATGATGGGAGGTTAAAAGATGGTGGGGTCCATGTCTAAAAAGAGAAATGAGATACTTTTTTTATACGTCCCGAAAGGAAAAGCGAGACAAGTAAATAGATACGGAGGGAGTACTATCTATACTTCACAAGTAGAGCTAGAAGTAGAAAGAAAACGAAATGTTTACATGTTTTTTGTATTAAAGTTACTAATCATTCTTGTTGTACTCATCCTTATACCCACTTTATACTCATCATGTCTGTGATGGTTTTTTTTTGTCTGTGAATCCAGTTCACCGACAAAATATGTCTTGTTTTGTCAGTGCAAAATTTGCACAAACCTATTTTGTCTGTGAACGAGATGACAAACAAAAGTCTTGCAAAAACATGGTGGGTATATGAGTGAGTTCAAATTGCATTTTTGTGCGTAAAGTTACTATGGCATGCTTTCAGATTAACAACTGCATGTCTGCAATCTGCATGCATATGAGTCTGCATTATTGTTTCCAATGTCGTATACAATAGGGAGGATGTCGTATGTGTCATTAAATATTAAAATAATGTATGGACTGTCTAATTAATTATTGCATGCATCCGTCATAGTGATGGGATATTCCGTTCAAAACTTTGTTCAATTTTCTTTATATTTAAGCTTTTTAAAAATATAACTAAAATAAATTTCATTTACAAAAATATACCGTAACTAATATTGTAGTTACTATAGCATAATTATCTCATTCTCAATCTCACTTAAGTATAAAAATGAACATTAATTACTATGACTAAGTTACTAATTAAATATGTAACTATTTCTTCTAATAAAGTAAGTAAAAATGCAAGAATGTGCATGTTTTTGTCATTACTGTTTAGTTCACAATGTCACGTTATATGATCATTAAAAGGGTTCATTTTACAACTTCTTATTTCATTTTGTCGATCAACTTTGCATTCAACATTAGTAATTTGTGTATTCGACGTGTTGAATTATGTAAAAAATTAAAAATATTGGTTACTTTTTAATTGAATTCACTCATTTATTAAGTAAGATTACTTAATTAGCTTTTCATAATGTAGTTTTTTCGTTATTTCACAAATGATTTAAAACAAAACACATTTTAATTTTTCTATAATTCAATTGATTCTATAATTTAATCAATGATTTTACAAATTTAAATTGACTTAACCAATTTTACCATGACATAAATAAGGTACAAAGAGAATCATCATTGTTTTATTGTTAAAGTATGACCTAAACGTGAACGGTACATGCATGAGAGATCACCAATTAAAAAATAAAAAATAGACTAATAACTCAAGTACAATGTCTAGATATAGATATTATGTTTGTCATTGTTCAAAAAAATTGATCAAAAACACATAAAATCGTGAAAAAAAGGAGAGAGAAATGTCAAAAATTTAATCTTTTATGTTTATTTCTATTTCATGCTACTGGATTACCACATGATCACCTTGCAATAGCATTGGAGATGCTCTTAATATAATCAACCTATAGTTTTAAACTTTTCTTAAAATCAAATAACTTGAATACACATATTTGCTCTTACATTAAGCCTTTTAGTTATTTATTTGGGAGATTTCAACAAGTAGGAGCAAAACATACGGATTTTCCAAAACTAAGACCGAAGATTAGCGTAAGACTCAACTACATATGCATTGATCACAATACCCTTACTTTTAGAAAATAACAGGCATTAAATAGACAATAAATAGACAATAAGTAAACAATAAATTCTGGAAAGCAACCAGTCTAATGCTCCGATCCTCAAGGAGGAGGGGAGAATAAGAAGGGCATGGTGCGCCGCCGCCCTAATGGATTGCGTATCAGCTCAATTTTCCAAATCTAAAACGTATATTTTGAATTCAGAATCTGAAAAAGTGAAATAAAATCATTGGTTGAAATAGAAAAACAAAAGAAGATGAAAACAGTGGACAGAGGAGAATGAAGAGGAGTAGAAGAAGAAGAAGGAAGAAGAAGAAGAATAAAGAAGAAAAGGATGTGGAGGAGCAGTAACCTGGTGCGGCGGAGAAGCATCGATGATTGGTAGCGGCGGTTTTGGAGTTGAGACAGGGCACCGAACGACGAAGATGGAGATGAACTTCTGAGCTGTGAATGTTTAACTGACGGAAGAAAAGAAATCTCAGGAAGCCAACGTGAATTGATTTGGGGTTTTAATAAATAGGTGAAGGGTAAAAGTGGAAAGTTAAAATCAAGTTTACTGAAATATAACTAAATAGGTTGTACGCACGGAAGAAATTTAAGTAGGTCCTATTTTTGTAAAATTGATATGAATGGATCCTACTTGGAGCATTTTTCTCTATTTATTTTCATTTGTTATTTATAACGTTGAGGATTAATTCACCTAATGGGTCAAACTATGACTGACTTTTTGCTTAAACTAACAGCGGTTTCTGGCGGCGGTTTCTTGGCTCGCGACATCACCTTCGAGAACACGGCGGGGCCGGGGAAGCACCAAGCCGTCGCCCTCCGGCTCAACTCCGACTTAGCCGCCGTGTACAAGTGCACCATAGCAGGTTTCCAAGACTCTCTTTACGTCCACTCCTTCCGCCAGTTCTACCGCGAGTGCGACATCTACGGCACCATCGATTTCATCTTCGGCAACGCAGCCGCCGCCTTCCAAGGCTGCAACATCGTCTCGAGAATGCCGCTGCCCGGCCAGTTCACCGTCATCGCCGCCCAGTCCCGAGATAGCCCTTTCGAGGCCACGGGGATCTCCATACAGAACTGCTCGATCTTGGCGACTAGCGAGTTGCTCGCTAATTCCGACGCCGTCAAGAGTTTCGTTGGCCGGCCGTGGAAAAACTATTCCGTCACGGTGGTCATGGACTCGTACATTGATGGGTTCATAGAACCGGAAGGGTGGACACGGTGGCTGGGCGATCAAGGACTGGACACTTTGTATTATGGGGAGTATCAGAACAGCGGGCCGGGTTCGGGTACGGATAATCGGGTGGATTGGGCGGGTTATCATGTTATGGGCTATGATGATGCGTGGAATTACACTGTGTCGGAGTTCATCACAGGAGATGAATGGTTAGATTCTACTTCCTTCCCTTATGATGAGGGGGTTTGATTTTGTTTAAGGTTAACGCGCACGGGTTTGATTTTATTTTATAGGACAAAATAGAGTCCTATAATCCTGTCTTATACACACACACATATATGTATTACTAATTGTCCTATATAGGACTAAAACAAGGTTGAAATGCAAAAATAAGACTTGTTATGTTTTCTTCCCTTAATAAGACCAATTTACTCCTATTCTTAAACATACGAAAATTGACATCTCAATTTTGCCCCTCCACCCATTTACCCTCCCTTTTCTCCTTTTCCCTTTGTAATCCGTCAATTCCTTCTCCACCAAAGCAGAGTTAACTGCATCTAATCATCTCCGAGGCATATGCGCCAGCGAGACAAGCAGCAAACGACGGTGAGGGTGGTGGCGGGAGCCACCACAGAGGGCGGTGGCAGGCGCCACCATCACGGGCGATGGCGGGGGACGGCGGCGGGCGGCACCAGCTAGGGCGGCGGCGGGTGGCAACATCGTCGAGGGTGGCTGAACTGCTATATGAAATTTTAGGGTTTCAACAAATTGTAATTTTACATTTTGAAATTTAAATTCAAATAAAAACTGAATGAGGGCATTTTTGTACAAATAAGTGATTTAGGTCCTACGAAACATAGATTTGTTTTTCGGTCCTATTTGTGCACACATAACTTCTTTTAGTCCTAAACAGGTAATTAACTCTATATGTATCTAATACAGTCCTACTTCGTATTTTTTACAATAAAAGGAAATTGACATTGGTTGTCAAATATTTTCATTTGGATTGAAACTTCTTGGTTTGATCTAGTTTGAACTGTCTGGTCTGGTATAATTTGGTAAATATCTGGTTCATATGTATTTTATAACTGTCGAAATATTATATGGTCTGATTATGTCATAATTGATTTGTTCTGGTTTTACCGGGCCAATCAAACCATTTTTTGGACCAAAGTAAAAATATTTCAAATGATAAAATAACTATGTTTTGAAAAATACATAAAATATTAATAAGTTTATTTAAAAAGAAAATGGGAAAAAATAGAATATGCTTTTAAAAATTGTAACCTATATAAAAAAGATGAGTTGATTCTACTTTTGGTTCTACAAGGTTTATTTTAATTCCACATTTAATTCATGTCCATCACTTTATTCACTTTTGGTACTTGACTATTATTTTCTTGACCATTTGTGATGCATTTTCGGCAATTTTAACCCCAAAAAAGAACCATATATGGGCACAAAATAATAGTGATGTAACAAAAGTGATTAAAGTCAAAGACGTGAACCAATTGTGGAATGAGTGTATCTCGGAGGAGGAGGAGGAGGAGGGGGAGGGGGAGGGGGGTTCGTATGGTGCAAAAGGAAGAGAAAGGGAGAGAAGAGAGTGGGGAGGGAGCGGGGAGAAGAGAGTGGGGAGGGAGGGGAGAGAAAAAAGTGGGAAGAAAGGAATGCTTGGTTAAACAAGACTCTAATTACATGCATATGGCTCAAGTTTAAGAAAATGTTAAAATTGGATTGAGCTAAATCACAAATGGTCTCGCTCAATAAGTCTCTTTTACCATTAGATCGTAACTTGCAAGTAAACACAACTATGTTTGACACGACGAGCTGAAACTGGATACTAATGTTTGAATTAGAGGTTATTGTCTGACCAGAGACTATTGTCTGGAACTACAATTTAAAGTGCTGGATCTGAATTGTTAAATGAATGAAGTAGACCTGTTTGGTAAAAAGAGCTGAAAAAGTACCAGGATAATATAAAATTACATTAAAAGGCATATGATTTATTAATAGAATAAAATATTTATGATAATAATTTTTATATTTTCATAGTTTCAACCCTTTAATATATGTATGCGTGTGTGTATATAATATTTTTGAATTTATACATGTATATATAATATATAATATAATAAAGGAATTTTATCAATCCGGGACCTGAAAGATAGACGGACTATCAATTCGGGACCTGAAAGATGAAATGTATCAGTATAAGACTCGAAAGATGAAAAACTATCAATCTAGGACCTAACGTTCATAGATTTTGATTTATTTAATTTTTTATTAATTTCATTGCTAATATTTGGTGAAATTTTTCTTCACAAAAGTTTATTAGTTTAATAAAAGTAGATATTATTTAATTTTTTTTTTAAAAAAAAAAGTATGACAATTTAGGTCCTAAATTGATAGTTGTCAATCATTCGGATCCTAGATTGATAATTTTTCATCATTCGGGTCCTATATCGATACATTTCATCTTTCAGGTCTCAAATTGATAGTTCGTCTATGTTTCAGATCCCGGATCGATAAAACTCCTATAATAAAACACGGAGTACCCTTGGTATAATATATGTACTGAAAACTCCATCCATAGTTACACAGGTGACATTCAAGGTATAGAAATTTATCACATGCAACACCAAAAAAAGCCGATACTGCTAAAAGCCAACCTCCGATTGGAGAGGAGAAATTATTTGTATTAGACGTGGAGAGTGGCAGAGGAACACTCGGCTATTTCGTGAGATTTGAACAGGGATAAGGTGGGAAACGGAAGTCTGGAAAGTCAGGGTTGAATATAAATGTTTCATTCTTCAACGTTCCAGTTCAGCCCATATTGTGATCAAGTCCACTTGAGCTAACCCTTCAAACAAACACTTCAACTTTAATTAAAATTGGCTTAACTTTAATTATTTCAGCCCCTTTTGAACTTATGTGGCTTGTCAAACATAGCCTAAAGGTGTTTTCATTTAGTGTGAGTTGTGACTACACTGACCGGTTTGGTGAAACCCCTCCTAATATATAAATTCCAAGGTAGCATTAGCCGTGTAATTTAAAAAATGAGTCAAATTCATGTATTAGGTATTATTTTCTAAAATAATCGTATTGTGAAATATTAAAACATTAATATGTTTATTTTTCCTCAAAAAATGTAATATTTTGGGAAAGAATGGTAAAATAAGAAAAATAATTTTTCTTTGAAAACTTTAAACTATATAACAAGATAAAATTTGTATTCTGTTTTAAAGTGCAATTTGCATAGAAACTAAAATTTATTGTGTTAAATCCTTCTATTTCCTACTACTACAGTATTTATGGAAAAGTTAGATTTTAATATAAAAAGGAAAAACTTCACACAATTTTTTTCACACAAAAATCAATACTTCACTATATTTCATACTTAACATATTACATGCATTTATAGGTTATAGTTTTTGAAAAGCTAAAAATGTTTGTTTGCATATCCATTTTTGTTAGAACAAATTTTACTTTTGGTCATACGAGATACACTCATTCCACAATTGGTTCACGTCTTTGATTTTAATCACTTTTGTTACATCACTATTATTTTGTGCCCATATATGGTTCTTTTTTGGGGTTAAAATTGCCGGAAATGCATCACAAATTGTTAAGAAAACAATAGTTAAGTACCAAAAGTGAATAAAGTGATGAACATGAATTAAATGTGGAATTAAAATAAACCTTGTAGAACCAAAAGTAGAATCAACTCATCTTTTGTTATATAGGTTACAATTTTTAAAAGAATATCCTATTTTTAAAAGTAGAATTAAAAGCATCTTTTGTAATTCCACGCATCATCATAGGCCATAACATGATAACCCGCCCAATCCACCCGATTATCCGTACCTGAACCCGGCTCGCTGTTCTGATACTCCCCATAATACAAAGTGTCCAGTCCTTGATCGCCCAGCCACCGTGTCCACCCTTCCGGTTCTATGAACCCGTCAATGTATGACTCCATGACCACCGTGACGGAACAGTTTTTCCACGGTCAGCCCAAGAAACTCTTGACGGCGTCGGAATTAGTGAGCAACTCGCTAGTCGCCAAGATCGAACACTTCTGTATGGAGATCCACGTGGCCTCGAAAGGGCTGTCTCGGGACTTGGCGGTGACGGTGATGAACTAGCCAAGCAGCGGCATTCTCGAGACGATGTTGCAGCCTTGGAAGGCGGCGGCAGCGTTGTCGAAGATGAAGTCGATGGTGCCGTAGATGTTGCACTCGCGTTAGAACTGGTGGAAGGAGTGGACGTAAAGAGAGTCTTGGAAACCTGCTATGGTGCACCTGTACACGGCGGCAAAGTCGGAGCTGAGTCGGAGGGCGACAACTTGGTGCTTCCCCGGCCCCGCCGTGTTCTCGAAGGTGATATCGCGAGCCAAGAAACCGCCGCCAGAAATCGCTGTTAGTTTGAGCAAAAAGTCAGTCACAGTTTGACCCATTAGGGGAATTAATCCTCAACGTTATAAATAACAAATGAAAATAAATAATAAATAACTAAAAGGCTTAATGTAAGAGCAAATATGTGTATTCAAGTTATTTGATTTTAAGAAAAGTTTAAAACTCCAGGGTGATTATATTAAGAGCATCTCCAATGCCATTGCAAGGTGCACATGTGGTAATCCAGTAGCATGAAATAGAGATAAACATGAAAGATTAAATTTTTGACATTTCTCTCTCATTCTTTTCACGGTCGTATGTGTTTTTTGATCAGTTTTTTTCAACAATGACAAACATAATATCTATATCTAGACATTGTGCTTGAGTTATTAGTTTATTTTTTATTTTTTAATTGGTCATCTCTCATGCCATGTATGCACCATTCACGTTTAGGTCATACTTTAACAATAAAACAATGATGATTCTCTTTGTACCTTATTTATGTCATGCAAAATTGGTTAAGTCAATTTAAATTTGTAAAATCATTGATTAAACAATAGAATCAATTGAATTATAGAAAAAATAAAATGTGTTTCGTTTTAAATCATTTGTGAAATAACGAAAAAACTACATTATGAAAAGCTAATTAAGTAATCTTACTTAATAAATGAGTGAATTCAATTAAAAAGTAACCACTATTTTTAAATTTTTACATAATTCAACACGTCAAATACACAAATTACTGATGTTGAATGCAAATTTGATCGACAAAATGAAATAAGAAGTTGTAAAATGAGCCCTTTTAATGATCATATAACGTGACATTGTGAACTAAACAGTAATGACAAAAACATGCACATTCTTGCAATTTTACTTACTTTATTAGAAGAAATAGTTACATATTTAATTAGTAACTTAGTCATAGTAATTATTGTTCATTTTTATACTTAAGGGATATTGAGAATGAGATAATTATGCTATAGTAACTACAATATTAGTTACGGTATATATTTTTGTAAATGAAATTTATTTTAGTTATATTTTTAAAAAGCTCAAATATAACGAAAATTGAACAAAGTTTTGAACTATTCAATCACTATGATGGATGCATGCAATAATTAATTAGGCACTCCATACATTATTTCAATATTTAATGACGCATACGACGTCCTCCCTATTGTATACGGCATTGGAAACAATAATAAATGCAGACTCATATGCATGCAGATTGCAGACATGCAGTTGTTAATCTCAAAGCATGCCATAGTAACTTTACTCACAAAAATGCAATTTGAAGTTTTGAACCCACCCGTATACCCATCATCACCATGTTTGTGTAAGGCTTTTGTTTATCTGTGAATCTCGTTCACAGATAAAATAGGTTTGTGCAAATTTTGCACAGACAAAATAAGACATATTTTGTTTGTGAACCGGATTCACAGACAAAAAAACCATCACAGACATGATGAGTATAAGGGTGAGTACAACAAGAATGATTGGTTACTTTAATACAAAAAACATGTAAACATTTCGTTTTCTTTCTACTTCTAGCTCTACTTGTGAAGTATAGATAGTACTCCCTTCGTATCTATTTACTTGTCTCGCTTTC